GCATCTGCACGTAATGACTGGGCTCTTCATTTTTGCACGCACAAGATCTGAATTCAATTCCCAAGTGGGGAAAACATAAATTTATTCAAGCACATCTTTTACCTCTGCTATATCCCAGAGATGCTGTATCTCTCTCAGCCTTGGTTGCCCCAGCAGGCAAGGTCAAAGCGGCCCACCTCTTCTTAAATGATAAATGATCTAAATGGTGTCAGAGGGGGGGGGGGGGGAGGTGGCATTAATCAGTCAACAATGTCTCTGAGTTGTGGTGGTTATAATCTGTGATGTAGTGAGTACTATGTACTTGAGACACTGACACAGTCAGGCACGGATAACCCAAATACGCCAGGGGATTGACAAAGGTGTTAGAGACGTCCATAATTCTGGTCAACCGATATCGAAAAACTAAAGATATCAGTCGGAGAATGGCAAATTGTACAAGCTATCCGTGATTTTGAATTTTTTATCATGTCTGTATTATCTGTGCCTGACTGTCCATGACATGAGAAACTGTCATTTGTTACTGAGCTGGCCCTGTCAACATGTACTACTTCATCAGCAGGAATCATGAGAAACTCAGATTTGTGTACATCCTGTATACTTGTTACTTTCATCCAGATCTTATGAAATTAAAGAAATCTGTGTTTTTACACACTGATTTCTTTCCTTTATTGATTTATTGGAAATGACTTGTCTTTAACAATAAAAAGAGGAGTTGAGAACATTAATATATTATACATGTATATTGACTCTTTTATCACTTTATTTATACCTCTTTCAGGTGATATTTATTGAAGGCCCAGCATTTTGTGGTGTTTAAAAAAAAAATGTTACAATCTTTTTCTTACTTATTATGTTTGGTGTTGAATTTAGTAAAATGTGAATGCCTGTTTGCTTAAATGAAAAGAAAACAGATGTACTTGTGACAATAAACAAGAAAGTCTGAAATTAATTGAAAAGGAGTCGTGCTTAGTGAGTCCTAGAGTTACTTTTCACGTTTTTTTTTATCGGTGGTAGATCCTACTATCTCTTTTTTTGTTCTTTCTGGCTTTTTTTTTATTGTACTTCTCAGCACTAAAATGACTTGCATTGTCTCAATGTATTCTCTTTACTCAAACAAACCTATTATAAACTACAATTCGTTATCAGTCTTCTTGGAAAGCTTTTCTTCACAGCACTGACGTTTAGTTCATTTACTACTGTTACTAACTGCACACGATCAGGTTAAAGCTCCTCTTTTCTTGCGGCAGAAAGAATTGAACTAATTCATACTTAAAATGGCTATGAAAATGCCAAAGCCACTTTGTGTCTTTATTAATTTGTATTACCGTACAAATTTACTTCTTCATCTTCTACTTCTGCATACCCCCCCGTGAGAGCTCTTCATCTCATTGCAGTCATAGTCCAGCTGATTTTTATGTACATACATGGTCGTTTTATTGAATAGAATGTAGAATCATCTCTTGACTTACAGGCTACCACGTACAGTGGAAACCTGATATAACAGCGATGGTGGGACCAGAGAAAAAGTCCTGTTTATCAGATCCTTGTTAGATCAGAAAAGCAAGGGAAGTAAGCATTTGTGGACTAATCCAGCTGTATTTATTCATGGGTAGTTTCTCATGGCCTGCGCATGACACATTATGCGTGCGTGTAGCTAGGCTTAGGGCTAGATCGAAGTCCACAGTAGCCTACACCGCAGCCCTCTATCGCTTCACCCGCTATGTGTTTCTCTCCCTCTCTCTTACCTCTTACACATTGTTAAGGAGTCTTTGTCCCTGCTATAACCGATTGGGCTCTGATGAGGCCCTATTATTGTCGATAACTTTTATCAGAGACAAAGAATACGAAAAAAACGGAATTTAAAAAATCCCTGTTATTACCAGATCCCTGTTATTACAGGGCCTGTTATATAGGCTATAGTTTCCACTGTACCATTTTCGATCTCATACTCTTAATACACCTGTAATTATAAATTATACTTACTGGTAGGCCAACTATAGAGTGGCTTCAGCTTTTGGTAGAAATTTATTTTGAATTTTTTTTCTTAGATAGTGACTCAAAGGGTCCACTCTTTTTAGATTTTAGAACTGCTTAGGATCTCTCTAAGGTGAAAAAACTTCCAAACATGGGACTTTCAAAATTAGTCATCTGTACGAGTATGAGAGAAGACTCTGTGCTCGATCCAACATAATCAAGGATCGCGGAGAGTAGAAAACATGATAAGAAAAGAAGACAGAGGTGGAGATCGAACTCCTGACCTCCAGGTTGACTGGCGAACACCATAACAGTTGAGCTACTGAGCCCCTAAACTCTTCTAAATTTATATGAACTCAATTTCCTAGCTTAAATTTCCAAATAATGTTAACTAAAAGGATTATATTGTGAGTATGTTGAGAGCTTCCAGCAGTAGTATTGGATTTTGACTAAAGAAAAGATGAGCAATAAAAAATATAATCCAATACAGTGGAGTCCACTTATAACGAGTCCTGAAACAACGAGAAGTCTGCTATAAAGACACTATTCTAAAATCCCGTTTTTTTCCCCTTCTTTGCCTTGGTAAATAAAATTCTGCTGTTGCACAATCAGAGAGTCACGCGGGTCGGTTATAACGGAATATTGCTGCTGCTGTGCACAGCGCACAGACCAATTACACATATTATAAAACCTCGCCAGTTGAGAAAGTTGTTGGTGAACCAGCGAAACAAAGAATGGGAGAGCCCACGTGAACCAACAATGAAGGCCGGGGCGAATAACGGGGGAGGGTGAGGCATGTGCAGACAAGCAGAACGCATTGCGTGATAGGCCAGACCAGTCTATATTATCTAGGCATACCGTGCCTCTCACTTCTCTGGTGCGGAATGGAGAGGTCACACTGCTGTGATGGATGGAGTGAATGTGTGACGGGCGCAAGCATACGCAACGTACCACAGTGTGTGGAGGGGTGGGGGACAACATAGCAGGCGAGTTAGCCTAAAGCCAGAGCCCATTCTTTCGGATCGCCAACGCCGAGCTGTCAACATTGCTAGTGCTAGAGAAAGAAACCTGATTCGATTTTTAATCAAGTAAGACCTAGAGATCGTGTTGAACAAAATAGTCATCAGGGGAAATAAAGAGAGGAATAAACAGAACACTAAACTTATAGATATTAGGCTTACTTTACTATGTATTTGACTTGAATTTATTACTGGATCCCTTATAACGAGAATCCTGCTATAATGGACATTTCGCACCGGTCCCCTCCCTCTCGTCATAACAGGATTCCACTGTACTGTACTGAACAAGCTGATACCAATTAAGAAAAAAAAAGAAATGAGAGCCAGAAATGCAAGTTTTCTGAACATGGAGTGAATCTCTGTGCTTTAGTTTACAATTTCACAACAACAAAAGCAGAACAATGTAGCCAAATAGGAAAATTGATATATTTATTCTAAATTTCATTCGAGAGGTGGTTTTATGGAAGACACTAACACACAAAAAACACACAGGCAAACCAGTGAAACAACATTTTTTGCTGTTGTTTTAGTAAGGTTTTACGGCGCTCGCAACTGCATATTATGGTAATAATATTGAGCGCCAAGGGGTGGATGTCAACAGAGGAGTCCAAACAGGGAATCAGGTTTACTCTGCTCACCTCTCTAGCCTCAACAGTACAAAGTCTGCTTCGACTATCAAGGCACCCCAAAAATAGCAGTTCACAAGAGAGTGACAACATACAAAAGAAGTAGAGGGAAAATGATGATAGTAAGAATGAGGAAAGAAAAAGCAGCAGTTCCCCCCTATGTTGTTCTGGCACAGTATGAGCATGACACTGATAAATCAGTTCATTTACAATTGTACTGTGCATAAGAACATGTTAGTATCCCCCTTTTGGGAAAGGCCTAAAGACAACTTCAGTCAGTATCACTGCTCTGGTGGGGGCACAACAACATTTTTAGTTTTAGGTACCAGTCAGAGGAAACATGACACTGTGCTAATGGCCATCAACTTTCAGCTGAGTCCATGGCTTTCCAAAAAAAACGTCACTGGCTGAATAAACTTATAAAGTAATCAGCCTCATACATACCTTGCAAGAACAGAATAAAAAGAAATGAGTGATCCCTTCCAAAAATTCACATTGTAAACATGCATTAGAAATGTACAGTCAAAATTAATACATGTATTACAAGCAAAATATGGATAACCTTTTGTGTGCACAAGAAAATAAATTCACAAATGAACAGCTTCCAGGAAAAGTCACTACTTGTCCAATAGCACCACTGAAAAATAAAAGGACAACTGACAAACATCATTTTGTCCATTCATGTTAATGAACATCAACCCCCCCCCCCCCCCCCTCCCCACGCCCCCTTGTTAAAATGGGTATATGACCTTGCTTGTGATGGAAACATTTTACAGCCATCAAAAGGGAGGCTTTGTCAGGCTTAGTCGTTAGTGCTACTTGAATGACTTCGTTTTTGTATGAGTTTTACAGCGCTCGCAACAGCATAAGGTCGTATGAGCGCGCGAAACACAAGTTGGTAGCATTTACCACAGTTCACAGCACGACTGGGCTCGGGTCAATATCAGATTTTAAAATGTTAAAAATTTGAGGAAAATATGTTTTAAAAAATTTAATTTAAAATAACTTTTTTTAAATAACAAAAAATTTTACACAATTTTATTTCATTTTACAATTTCCCATAAAGGCCAATGGCCGTCATAAAATCCAGAATTCTATTGGGATCAACGACGGAAAACAGATCTTGCAATTTTTTGCTTGTAAAATATTTTCTTCGAGTCTCTCCGAAGTCTAGACATTCGGTTAAAATGTGTCTACTGGTAAAATCTGTTTGGCATCCGACACAGAACAGCTTCTCATCTCCCTGAAGGAGGTATTTATGTGTTAGGGCCGTGTGTCCGATGCGTAATCGAGTAAAAATGATTTCGTCTCTTCAGGAGAGGCTCGAAGGATTTCGCGGCCCCAGTTTGGGCTTAATGTTGTTAAATTTATTGTTTGTTTGTTTTTTCCAATGAGTCTCCGACAGACTGGAACTTGAATGACTTCAAGTTAAAGTAAAACTCTATAAAATACCAAGAGTTCACCTCACTGCTTGAAGTCTAACAACCACCTTTCCAAGGCAACCACCTTCTCACTCCTCTCCCCTCCCCAAGCTTTTTTATTTTCAATAAATACTATGATGGGACAGTCCAAGAAGGCCACCAGTCTAAGATGATGATCTTTCTCTTCAACAATGGATGGTGGTCTGGGAGAGGTTTGACTGTAGTTCATTAAACTTTTTTTCCTGACTAGATTTCCCAGTATCAGTTATACTTTTTAGTCCATTTGATAGAGGAATACTGGAACTGGGGACTCAAATGACACCATTTTCCATTTTGTTTTCCTAAAATTATGGGACTGACCATGTATGTCAAGAAATGAGTAGATTCCAATTCCCTTCTTTCGGAGGTTCATATGCTGTTAAAATTAATAATGACTAGAATGGACTGCAAATGTTTTGCACCTCCATTGACATCTCGGATGTGGGCTGCTTCTACCCTGTTTTGCTTAGTCAATCCAGGATTGAGGAGAGGGAAACAGTATCCCAGCAGAAAGATAAAAAGATACTTGAGAAAATAATTTCCCTGCCCAAGGACCGAATCTAGATCTTTTTCCTGAGACAGTGAGGAGACTGACCACTACATCACAGCTGCCTGTCATCTAGGGACCTTACAGGTAACAAAACTAGGGGGGCCTTTCCTAGTACCATCAAATACAGCTCTCAGCCATATGTTGAATTCTGCCTCACGGTGGTTACCTTTGTGCTGCAGGGAGTACTTTGTCACAGAACTAGGCAACTCTTTGTCATGGACCATCTCAGTGCCCCTTTCCTGAAATACAAGATGATATGTAAAAGTCTGATGAGAAACAAATTCCACATTCCAAGGTGGAGTCCAGGACAGGGTAAAGGAATTGTCTACGAGATTGCATAGTAATGAGCTCACAGCTCCAGGAATGATGGAGTCCTGCCCTGATACCGATTCAGACATCCTTGATGAATTAGCAAAAACCTCAGCTTGGGATAAAGCAGAAGCAGCTATAGTCACAACCGAATCAATGTCCACCACGGTGTCCTGGTAGATGTGGTAGAGCCACGATGGGTCCTCGCAACAAAGGTGATTGGGCACCTCCGTTTGGCTACTGATCTCTTGTTGCGCCTCAGGAGACAGGTGATGGATACCACCAACGTCAGATGGCCAGCCCGGATGAGGGACTGAGTTGTCTCTGCTTGGGTTTGTCCACGATCTATAAATAAGACTATAGCCACCCAGTTCACACAAACTCTTAAAGGGCGTGTATTTAGACGGATTCACAGCATAGGGGAAAAGTTCTATAACAACGGAGCCAGGAGGTAAAAAAGCAGCCAATGAAAATAAGGAACCGTGCATTCCTAGAATCCCCTTTGAATTCTTCACAATAGTAACTAACTCAGCTAAGCTGTGGGTCTCCAGACTTACAGACATGACTTTTAATTTTGTAGCTCTGGCTACAGCTAGAATAAGTTCCCCTTCATTGACAATGAGTCGTGTGTCTTTCCGAGACAATAAGACTAGGTAGCTTCCACTGGAGCAGAAAATACAATCTGACAACAGATCCTGAGCAGCATACCGTGCAGCCCTGTAGACGTTTACTCCAGTTGCAAATTTGTCAATATAATGTAAAGGACCCTGGGGGACAGAAAATCCGTACTGATACCATAAAGTTTTGTTTGACAACCCAAGGTAAACACTTTCAAAACACACCAAGTCTGATGGAAAGTTACTTTTCCATAAAGTAATGGGGCTCTCCGTGGACACACTAGAGTAGAGTGGAAGAAGATCTCCTTCGTCGTAATGATCTGCAAACATTATAACAACATCGAACTTACGTTTTCTTCTTTGAAATTTCATAGAATCCAGAGTGTGTATTAAAGGGAACAAGTCGTCATGGAAAACATGCATTATGTTATCAGGTTTAAAACGACTCATCAGGAAGGTGGTTTTTCTCATGATGGAGACAGAAAATTCATTAACAGACTTCCCAGGAATGGTCACAGGCCGGAAAATGTAAGCATTATGGTCAGGAATTGCCGATAGGCTGAGAGAAATTTGTCCCTCATAAAACTCCTGAGAACTTGCTTCAATGATACTGGTATCACTTTTCAGAAAAACAAAGTCGTGTTGAGCAGTGTTGTAGCAGAGGTTCTGTATATGGCACGAAGACCCCGACCTGTCAAGGTCACTGCACCAAACCGACGTACCCTCTGACCCAAGTTTTTCTCTATCTGCAGCACTGAGAACTTCCACATATTTGAGCATCTTCTTAGAGAAGCTTGGCCTTTTGTACGTTTGGGTATCACAGTAATCAAACTTTGTGTTGCTTTGAGAATTAGTTTGTTCACACTCATCAAACCCAGACAGCTGCTCTTTGACAGGAGCTTCAGAATCTTCCCAGCTATGGTTTATTCTGTTCTCGCCAACACCATTCACATAATCATCAAGGTACGAATCTGATTCAAAGTCCTCTTCATAATAGAGTGGGTCAAAATCACTGTCATGTAATTCAGTGGAGCCAAAGTTTTCAAACTTTTGCGAAGATTTCAAATGTGCTTCAAACTGAGATAATGATATTGAAGTTGGAGTAGTTATAATACTGTCCACAGATGCATCAGATAAAACAATATCAGCCTTTGCAGCATCATCAATATTCAGGAGAGAATCATCAGCCGTGACCCGAGGCCCCGAAGTAAAAACATTTCTATTGATATATTCAGTGTTCTTCAATAAATGCTGTTGCTCAGTTAGAGAGGAAGACGAGAAAACAAAAGAAACAGTCAATGAATCTGAGCCAGACGCTGGAGCAGTAGGCTGCGTCTTCACATGTTCCCACAAATCAAGGGAAGTAACAGGATTTGTTTGTTCTGGTTCAGAAGTTACAGGAACATCTACTACACTCGTCACGGAGTCTAAAGACACAGTCTCCTTGTCTTGCAACTTGGTATGTTTTGAGGTGGACAAAAAATTATCTGTTGCATGAAACACGATTTGATCTGAGTTGAGAGGACTTTGAGAGATGTAATGTAGCTGAGATGTCCCCAGTTGTATTTTCTCTGTTCCCTGATATACATCAACACTTAGGTCCATCTGTGACACCCTCGTACCCAGCCCTGGTTCCACAGCCGAAGAAGATGTCAACAGATCTTCAGACCTGGTGTGGTACTTCGAACCAGATTCTTCCACTGGACGTCTGGGCTTAAAAGATGATTCTCTATTCTCTGTCAGCTCGTATTCCTTATAGCTGTGTCCACCCTTGCAGGCCTGCAAGAGTTCCTCATACCTGAGCCCCAGCTGGTGGTACTGACTGGCAAAGACGATGATGGCCACCAGCATCACAACGTGAACAATTCCTTGTATGGAAGAGGTCGCCATAGTTCACTGAAATTACAGAACAGAAGAAAAAGCTGTCAAATAAAATGGTTCATCGACAAAGCTTTACAAAATGACTGAAAATTGAGTTGGTTTCTTCAACTGATTTAACTGTTTGCTTTTTGCTTTGTTTGAAAGCTACTAAGGATGGAAAATCAGTGGTTTTGGGGGAGGCTGCAGAAAAATCCCCATAATTTATAATTTTGTACCACTTTAATCCATCTTGTTAGCCTAAGAGCTTTGGTTTATTCAAGTGATGGGCCAATGTTTTTTTACCCCTCTCAGTGATGAGACCACAAATTTGACGTATCGTGGTGAAATCAGACACTCGTCAAAATAATTAAATCAAAGAAATCAGCATTTTTATGGCCATTGGGCAATTTTTTCCAAATTTTCTTTTACTTGGCTCAACAACTTAAATGTCCATTTAAAAACACAAGTCATGTACGTGTGGATTTTACTGAAAAACTTTGATTAAAGGCACAAAAATGTAAAATTGCATATTCTAAAGACTCTCCAGCTTCGGAAGTTGCCAAACTTTGGCAGCCATTTTATTTTCCAACTAATTTTACCTCTACAAACAGGCGCCACCCACCTCCTTCAACTGCAAATACAACGTATCTCAACTTCTATTCAAGATAACAGATGAGTAATTTTTTCATTTGTTGAGGAAGAAACTGCACAAAGCCACATCAGCATCAGCAAGGGCTATTCTCTCTGTAAGTGACTTCACTGAACCTGAATTGCTAAATTTCATGCCTGTCTCCTTGTTCCAAGACTTTCCTTTGTCCTGAAAGTTGGTTCAAAGTCTACAAAGTCCAAAACCTTATTGACAAACCCTTGGCACTATACTCTCTTTATTCAACCATCGTTTTAAATTACTTTTGTTAGCACAAGTGTGAAAATGATAGTTTATTAGTGGGCAGATAGCAATACCGTAAATCCTATTGCCATTGGGTCACCTGTAGTAAGACAGGATGAAGTGTGGGCATCTGAGACTCAGACAACCAAATCTTTAGGCAACAGGGGAGGCTGGCAGTGTGTAAGTCTGTCTGCCCCAGAACTGTGAAAAGACAAAACAAGCTGAAGACAATTCTACACTTATTCTAAAAATGGTAAGATTCTGGCTGTTAAGAATGTAATAAGCCGCAGCAAGTAATATTTTTTAATTTTACAAATTTTTAACAAATAAACAGCACTAGTTTATAAGCCGTAGCAGACATTACAGATATATAAAATTTATTCAGTGTCATCAAGAATCCTCCTATCTGCTGAAATCTTTTCTGAGTCAGAATTTAACAGATAGAGAAGTGCTTTTCACATAATAATTTTGCCCCCACAGGACACCGATCGGCGATGGTAAGAAGCTGTCTCTTTCCCCCATGGGGCGCCAATCGGCGAGGGTGTGATGTAGCAACAAAAACATTGCTGCAATGATCTTCTTTTTGACATATGCACTTGTTAAAGTTAAATTTCCTTTCTGGATGGTTTGTGAGGCCTTTGAGGTAAAAAAAAAAATCAGTTTGAATACAATAATGGGAGTAAACTTTTTGGAAAAATATCCAATAGACCTAGCATGAAAGCTGCTTTTCTCATACATGCCATGATGAGAATTCGGGAGATGAATGAGCTAGATCTAATGTTTTCAGTTCCAATTCTAATTCCTTTATAGGGTTAAAACGCTATCATCACTTTTAATCTGCTCAGTATACTTAAAATTTCATAAATAGTTGGGGTATTTTTTAGTGAGATACAGGAGTAGTACTGATGTAGGCCTACCGCATCTGCATCCTGGTCCGTGGGGACAAATGTTGTGCGCTTTTCGCAGGTGGAAAGTGTTAAATATTTTAGGTGTATGCTAAGAAAAGGTGAGGGAGTGATCTTCCTGGACTCCGATTGAGAACAATCTACAAATACGCTGCATCATTGTTTAACTCTTTTCCCACCAGGCCAAAATCCACCACTGGCCCAGGGCTTTTCCCTGACCTATTTTTAAGCCCCTACCCCACCAAAGGAAAATGTCAAAACAGCCAACTACACACACACAATCCGTACCATATGGCCTGCCAAACTGAAGGTTAAAAAATAACCTATCAAATGAAGGTACAATATTGAAGATTGATTCCAATTATATTAGTTTGGGATTTCTAAAAACTGGTTATGCAATATCGAAACTGTCAGATGAAATCAACAATTTTTCAGCTTTGAAAGGTCATGACTAAAAAAGTACACAACGGCATCATTCAAACTTCACAGGTAGGTTGCCTCAAATAATGCGAAGAACTGCTGAAAGTTATGTATGAGTACCTATTTTATAGAAGTGAAAATATGAGACATATACTGAAGTCAGGGGAGCCCTTTTCTTTTCATTTTACGTTTCGAAGGGGACAGAAAAAAGTGCTGAAACGACTAAAAATTGTCTGTCAACGCTATAATAACGTATACGTGAAAGATGGAACAATAAGTAAATTTTAGGGGCCCAAAGTAAAATTTTTCATAATTAATAGTTATGAACGAAATAGTGTGTCATAATGGTTATGAACAAACTTTAAATTTATGCATAACATGCCCTATGACCAGTTTGCGTTTATAAATAGCTGTTAAATGGTCTTTCATTTACCACTTGACTATAATTAGACCAGAGTGTTGTTTTAGACAATTCTAGTCAATGAAACTTGACATAATTGATAGTATTTTGGTCACTTATTGTTCGTTCATAACTATTATGACACAAAAAAGTAATTTTATCAAAAATTTATAAATCTTTTTATAAACTGTCAATTCTATGTATTTTTGGAAGTTGTTTGCTATGTCTCAAAATATAACCTCAGTCTAGCTGAAGAAAGGAACTTTTGAGTATTCATAAATTTGTGTCATCATTGTTATGAACAAACTTTTTGCTATTTCCGTCATTCAAGTCAGATTTACACCAAGATCATTGCATATACAGCTTTGGCAGTTACTGAGCCTGAAAGAGCAATCATTAGGCAATTATCAATATAATAAGGATGATTAAAGAATTATTACATAAAGTTGATTTTGGACCTCATTTGTCACACCCAGGTATACCCACCTTTTGGCAAATGCTCAGGAAGAGCATAGATAAAGACAAGAAAAGGAGGAGAGATAGCAGTGACGTTGACGATGATGAGGAGGAGAAGAAGAAGAAGAATGGCGAAAATGATAAGAAAAAGTTAAAAAGAGAAATGGCCAAGTCTCTCGGGATGCCCTATGATGACAGAGGAGACGAGAAAGGAAGGAAAGGTTCGAATGACACCAGCATGACATCACTTCCGACTTCCTGTGACTCATGACTCCGGCTTCCTGTCCTGCCTTACTCGTGACTCGCCTCAGGTTGGGTAGAGACCAGGATCACTTCAGGCAAAATGGCGTTTTGTGCAGGAGCCGAATTTTTATCTTCTGATGAATTTGAGGCCGGTATGAAAAGTTACAGTGCTTCTAATAAATGTTTATTTGTCAAGAGGTCATAAGAAGCAATTAAAGATGGCTCATTAGCGTGTGTCGGGATCGGATGGGCGGCCTGCACATGTGTGGCTGTGTGTAAATGTCGGGGAGGGGGGAGCACTATCGGTCTGGGCGTTGAACGTCGCATACGCGTCAGTCTTTTTTCCCCCCGACAACTGATAATTAAATTGCAATAAAAAGCTAGTCTTGACGTAGATCTACGTAATGAATTGTCTAGGGAATCAATGTTGCCGTATGCTCAGCTCTACACAGCAACACAACTTTTTCTTGGTAAACAATCGAGATGACACAGGCTTGTGTATTTGAATGAATCGGTCTTTTTTTTTTACACAGCTCATAATATGCAGGTGCCAGGTGGCCTGCTTATTATCTTCAATTTTACCTTTTTCTACAACAAAGAAAGTGAGAAACATGGGGGGTGGGGGGCGTATCAATGAGGCGGTGGGCATTGGATCGGCAGAAAAGGTGTGGGGGAAACTAAAAAATGGCGGAAAATTGGAAGCACTGAACGTTACATCTATAGAACGAAGACACTTCCTTTTTTCCGGACCCGAGTCCGAATAACATTTTTTCATATTCAGACTCGAGTCCGAATATGAAACTTTTTTATTTGGACTCGAGTCCGAATATATTAAAAAATGCTGACTTGAATCCTCCCCTGGTTTTGTGTTTAGTATTATCATGATAGGTTAAACTGGGGTGACTCGTGTGTATTCTCTTTAAGTGGGATGCTGGTTTTTATTGTATTGATCAATGAGATCAAGGGGATGTGTGGTCTATAATTCGCTGTGATCACCAGACAAGCCAGAGCCAGAATCACGGGAAATAAGTCAACAAACTCAGTGTAGCCTAGTGAGTGTAGGAGAATAAGGGAGCACGGGGGCATATAAACAGAACCGAAGGTTAAACCGGCCTT